GTTTTAAAACAATAACTGAGAAAATGACATGAAGGCTGTGTTGACCAGTTTGATGGAAGTATATCGGATTGCATGTGAAAACCCTACCCTATACCCCAGAAGTGCATTAATGTACATAGTTACCATTCAATAAAAAAAAAAAAGTATTTCAAAATAAACCGAGAAAATGACCCATTTTACAAAGAATGGAAACATTTGCACAAATGGAAGAAATCAAAGAATAAAGGCAAAAGGAGACCGTGAATTGTTGAACTTCTGCTTTATGCAGGAAGAAGTCCTCACCAACTCCCAAGGCCAGAGTCAGCTGGCATTTGTAAACTACTCCAATTTGGCCAGTTTAGAGATTATACTTCTGTCACCCCATTTGTAGGAGTATTTAGATGGATATAGTGAGTTTATGTGCTTTAATTCAGGAAGAATGTTTTAATAACAGAGTCAGAAAGAGAGAGAGAATAAAATTTCTGACACTTTAGAAGATGGGAAAAGCTAAAAGAAATCAGACTAGACAAAGGGAAACTTATCCATCCTTCAGGTTCCAAATAGTGATGCATGGTCTTAATTTGGGGTTGGATGGGGGTCTCCTTTTATCTGTGGGGCTTTCCTTTGTATTATCTAGGTTGCCAGGAAAGTGACAAAGAAAAATCACTCCTAATTCTGAGAGCCACTTTACATAAGAAAGAATTAAGGAACAAGCCAACAGTATAAAGAGAAAGTGAGATTTATTCAGAAACTATGAAAAGTGTGATCCACAGACAGAACAGAGGCAAGCTCTCTTTATAGAAGACAACTGGCTTCCAGTTTCCTGTTGCCCTTATATTTAATCAACAACTTAATTACAGGCTAAATAGATAGAATGGTGTTCCTCCTCTGTCTCAGTTTTAACTGGTGGGAATTTGCCCTGTCTCTCTTTTGATTATGGCAATTTGAAATTTTGTTTTGAAATTTCCTGACTCATTTAATGCTGCAGCAATGCCCAATCAATGCATAAAGCAATACCTGCCATTTTTCTGTCTCATTCTTATTTTATTCCAGAAGGTATGTATTTATCATATCTTCCCGAAGCCAGGGGCTGTTTTATTACATTTTGATACCCTTGAATGCCTTTGGACATTCTAGTGATGGATAGGGACTGGAATATTTTTACATTGAAATATTTTAAGAGACTATCTCACCTAACCTTTATCATCTCCCTGCTTCAGGTATTTAACTGAAGAAGGATAAAATGATGCTTTCTTTTAATTGTGTATTTTGTACACTTCAATTTTGAGGCCCCTAAAGATCAAATTTAGGAGTAGCAACTTGTAGTATTCATGGGCACTGGGATTAACATAACCAACTGTAGGTTTCCTTATCCATAAACAGAAACACAAATACCTGCCTACGTTCATCATAAGCCTATTCTGGGAATCAAATGTGGGAAAGCACTGTAACTTGTAAAACATGAGAAATTAAGAACTAAGGTGGACAATTACATAAAAGTCCACAAAATAATTCCCTTTTCCAAATTATTTTTTCAGCTTCATTAGGGGATGGAAAAAAAGGAAGAGAAAAGAAAAGAAAACACAAAACAAATCATTGACTTATGTGGACATTGGGCGGGGGGGATCCAAGCTGCTAGTAAATGCTCTTTCTCTGAGTCTCCTGCAAGAGCATTACTGGCAGCTACTAGTGACCAGCCCTGACATCATCTTTCACAGGATAGACTGTGAAAACCTAGGTTCCAGAGGGCACAGAAACTTCAGACACCACTGTGAGAATCAAAGGTCTGTCTTAAAATGTTCCAACCTTAACTTCCAATCACTGTCTTACTTAGATTTTGATTTCTGGTTTGTGACTGAAAAGCTCAGTTCAAAGTCCACAAAATAGAAGCAGCTATAGGAACGCTGCTGCCAAATATTCCTGGAGGATCCCTGGAGAATTAGGTGAAGGAATCACTAGGGCAGGCTCCTAGTGATTTTCTCATCCTAGGAGAAAAATAAAATCCTGTCCAGGAGGGCATTGGCCAAAGGAGTGGGGCCTCTAGATTTAAAAAAAAAGGCAGAAAGTCCTGCCATCCTAAGCCTCAAAACACTGAGGCAAAAAAGGACACAGAGAGGATATTGGATTGTGGAGTTGTGAGAAATCCCAGGAAAATATCTTACACTTAACTTCTTTTCCCTCCAAGCCTTAAATTGGTGGCAGGGAACTGCTACTTGATTGGAGAGGGCTTGTGCCCTTCACAGTGAAGCAGGAATACAAACAATGACCTTTCCTTCTCTAAAATTTTAGCATTTTATTCAAATTTGTTCATCTTAGACTTCTTGCTTTAATTTTGTTTTTTGAAAACTATTGCACTAAGATGATATTTATTTTGATTCTTTAGTTTATATTTAAAGTTTTAGCCATTGTAATCATAGCCCTGTATATAATTTGGGAAACTTGGAAGTTTAAATTACATTTAATCAAAGAAATATTTTGTTTGGAGCAAAGAAAACAAAAACTAATTACTTACTGGGTAAGTTAAAGAGTAGCTCTCTGCAAAAAAAAAAAAAAAAAAAAAAAGTTGCTGGTAGGGAACTCCATACACAAATATATCTAACCTGTTTTGTAGCATCTTGTGTATGTATGGAATGTGTCCTTCAGGAGAGGGAAGTTTATAGATTCATGTTCTTCAAGTATGAACAACAGTGAAATTGCTGAAGTGAGCTCCCTGATTAATTAATAGTGCTAATAACTACAAAAATATCTGTTTTTATTACATGATCAATGTAATCCATCCCTAAACCACTAAGTCCAAGTGAAGGTACATTTATTATATACATTTGAATTTCATAATTTTTAAATTAAACACAATTATATCAAAGAGCTTAAGTAGGTAGGAATTTTCATCTGGTCTAAATTTTATTTTTTATTAAATCATAATTGCATACATTAATGCATTTATGAGATACAATGTACTGATTTGATATACAATATGGAATGCTTACATAAATGATTAACATAACTATCTCCTAGCTTATCTATTTGTTGTAGTAAGGCATTCATACTTTATTCTTAATAGTTTAGAAATGTATCATTACTATTCATTTCTAATTTTAAAATTCAACAATTTTATTTATTAGTTATTAGTATAAAGGAAAACAAAGACAAAGATTCTAGTATAAATAATTTAATCAAATGTTCTTTGGGTTTTCCATTATCAAGGCACTGTACATATTATTTCTCTACTGTTTTGTTTGGAATAAGGTTAAACTATATTTTCACATTAGGAAGGAAACTAAAGCAGAATGTGAACAATTCGTAGGAAATAGAGAAGGCTATAGCTGCTTACTTTTCTAACAATACTGAAACATACTTGTTGCTGTTTACTTTCTCTCTCTTTTTTTTTTTTAGAGACAGAGTCTCACTTTGTCACCCTTCGTAGAGTGCAATGGCATCACAGCTCACAGCAACCTCCAGCTCCTGGGCTTAAGCGATTCTCTTGCCTCAGCCTCCCAAGTAGCTGGGACTACAGGCGCCTGCCACAATGCCTGGCTATTTTTTTGTTGCAGTTTGGCCAGGGCGGGGTTTGAACCTGCCACCCTCGGTATATCGGGCCGGCGCCCTACTCACTGAGCCACAGGCGCAACCCTGTTTACTTTCTTTTTGATATAGAACATAATTTTCCAGGTCTTTAATCCTACCTCTACTTCAACAACATTTTAGTACTGGGTAATTACAAAACTTTCTAGGGATCACACTATGATTTACTGATTGAATTTATAATTTCTATAATATAACTTAAATTCTATATTGTAATTCACTTAACTTTCCTGTTTTTAGGTTCGAAAGGTGGTTCATTTCCTTGTTTTGAAGAAATAAATTCTAGAGGAGATAGATTTGGAAACTGTGGTTCTGGATATTGTTATTTTCAGTATGTATTTACAAAACTATAATTTTGTATAGTATAGGTTATAGGTTGCTAAAATCTTAGAAGATATTCTGTAAAGTGTAAAATGGCATTTTGGGGGGCTAGGTTTTCTTTGTTATATAATCTAGGCTGAACAATATTATCCACTGACTATAATAACGTGTGTTCAGTGCCTATGATATTAAACAATAATCATAAAGATGGCTTCTCTTTATTGTTGTGATGATCTAGACATTCTTTTAGGGATTATATATGTGTGTGTATATATATATATATTACACTTATATAGTGTTTTCTACATATATATTTATAAACATCAGCTAGTATATGTATAGGACAGATCCAGGCTTTCAGATTGTAAAAATCATTAATTTTCCCTTTCCAAATTGCCTTATAAAACAAGCATGAGATAGTGTGTTCAAAAAAACTACTAAGATTGTAAAATTGTTGAAATTTGAATTTTAATTAGTAAAACATTCAATTTATCTATATCATCAAACTATCTTATTTCAATAAATAAAACATAACTTTATAACTTTTTATAAACATAAAAGGTTGTTTTTATAAACAGAACTTTATAACTTATTTCAATAAGTTAAAACATAACTTTATAACTTTTTTTCTTTCTTATGCTTCTAGTAATAATCTATGTGGAAAATTAGTTTGTACATGGCCATTCAGAGAATTAGTTTCACATCCAAATTTATCTGTGATTTATGCACATGTGAGAGATGAAACATGTGTATCTGCATATCTACCCATACCAAACACTGTTAATGAAGAAAGCCAAGAAACGTTTGTAGCAGATGGCTCCATGTGTGGTCCAGATATGGTAATTAGAATGACAAAATTTCAAGTTTTTAAAATTAATTTTATGGTTATACCCATTTTTACAAACTAACCAATGGATTTTCCCATTTTTTAATTGTTATAAAAATATACACAACATAAAAATTACCATATTAATCATTTTGAAGTGTATAGTTCAGTGGTATATATGTTAATATAGCTGGGCATTGTGCCAGGCACCTGTAGTCCCAGCTACTGGGGAGGCTGAAACAAGCAAATCACCTAAGCCCAAGAGCTGGAGGTTGCTGTGAGCTGTGAAGCCACAGCAGTCTACCAAGGGGAATAAAGTGAGACTCTCTCTAAAAAAAAAAAAAAAAAAAAAAAGCTTACACATTAAATAATTGCCCCCCCATTACCTTCTTTCCCTTGCCCCTGACGAAAACCACACTACGCTCTGTCTCTATTAATTTGACTACTATAGGTACCTCACATAAGTGGAATCATACATTATATGTCTTTTTGTGACTGGATTATTTCACTTAGCATAAGTTTGCCATGTTTATCTATATTACGGCATAATTTAAAATTTCCTTTTTAAGATGGAATATTCTACATATATGTATAAACACACACACACATATATATACACATATATACACATGTACACATACCGCATTTTGCTTAGCATTATTGTGTCAATAGATATTCGGTTTCCTTCCAAGTTTTAACTATTGTAAATAATGCTAATATGATCATGGTAGTACAAATATCTCTTCAAGACCCTTATTTCAATTCTGTAGGTATGTACCTGGAAAAGAAATTGCTGCATTATACAGTAGTTCTATTTGTTTTCTTTTTTATCCTCTTAATTTGTTTTATTAGAGTGCTACTGTGTAAATTAATGCATTTATAGGGTAAAATGTGCTGATTTTATATTTGGAATGCTTACATCAAACTGGTTAGCATAGCCTTCACCTCACTTAATTATTGTGCTAAGACATTTATACTCTCAATAGATTTGATATGTACCCTTGCAATATGCACCATAAGAGAGGTTCCATCAATTACTCTTCCCTCCAGCAGGCCTCCCTCCCTCCCCTCACCCTTCTCTTACTTCCTTTCCTGGGAGGGCTTCATCTGTGACTTGGCAATTATGAATTGGGCTGAAATAAACATTCTGGTGCAAATATCTTTGTTGTAAAATAGTTTTTGGTCTTCTGGATATATACCTAGTGAAGTAATTGCAGGATCAAATAGCAGGTCTACTTTTAGTTCCCTAAGTGTTCTCCTAACTTCTTTCCAAAAGGGACATATTAGCTTGCATTCCCACCAGCAGTGCAGAAGTTAAAAATGCTCATCATCTGAGAAATGCAAATCATAACCATTTTGAGATATCATCTAATTACAGTAAGAGTAGCCCACATAACAAAATCCCAAACTACAGATTTATGACACTTGTATATCTTCTTCAAGGAAATATCTATTTCAAATCATTGGCCCATTTTTAATTATGTTGGGTTGATGCTGTTGAGTTCTAGGAATTCTCTATATATTTTGGATATTATTGATCTATGAGATATATTATTACCAAAGATTTTCTCCCACTCTGTGGGCTGCCACTTTATTTTGTTCATAGGGTCTTTATTTTTTTTTATTTTTTTAATTATTATTTTTTTTTATTGAATGGTAACTATGTACATTAATGCACTTCTAGGTTACAGTGTGGTGTTTTCACACACAATCCAAAACACTTCCATCAAACTGGTTAACATAGCCTTCATGTCATTTTCTTAGTTATTGTGTTAAAATGTTCATATTCTACTCTTAGAAAGATTAACTTGTACCCTTGCAAGATAAACCACAGAAGTGATCCCTCCAATCCCCTTCTCTCCACCCATCCCCCCCATTCTTAGCCTGTTATTAGGTTATAGCTTTCATATAAAAGGTATAAATTAATTTCATAATGGGGTGTGTACACTGGATACTTTTTCTTCCATTCTTGTGATACTTTGCTAAGAAGAACATTTTCCAGCTTCATCCATGTGAACATGAAGGACATAAAGTCTCCATCTTTCTTTATGGCTGCATAGTATTCAATGGTGTACATATACCACAGTTTGTTGATCCATTCGTGGATCAGTGGGCACCTGGGCTTCATCCGTGACCTGGCAATTATGAATAGGGCTTCAATAAACATTCTGATACAAATATCTTTGTTGTAATGCGATTTTTGGTCATCTGGGAATATACCTAATAAAGGAATTGCAGGGTCAAATGGAAGAATTATTTTTAGATCTTCTATTTCTCTAAGTGTTCTCCACATGTCTTTCCAAAAGGAACGCATTAGTTTACATTCCCACCAGCAGCATAGAAGTGTTCCCTTTTCTCCACATTCATGCCAGCATCTCTGGTTTTGGGATTTTGTGATATGGGCTAATCTTACTGGCGTTAGGTGATATCTCAAAGTAGTTTTGATTTGCATATCTCTGATGATTAAGGATGGAGAGCATTTTTTCATATATCTGTAGGCTGTGCACTGATCTTTTTTTTTTTATGGTCATTACTTCCTTAATTTTATTTATAGTTTTTATCATTTTTTAGACTCTTAAACTCAAAATTCATAGTGTTGCCTATTTTTGAACTTTATATATATATAATCAATGGAGTTCTATAGCACGTATCCTTTGTGTCTAGCTTTTTTTCAATTTATTGATTTATTTATTTTATTTTTACATATACATGTGTTTACTAGGTTTCCACTTGTTGCCTTCACAAAATCAAAAAGGCTTAAAATTTAACAACAATAACAATGTTTAAAATAAGGACTAGAAACAAAAACCTTGTAAAGAATGAATGAAGATAAATACATTCATAAAAGAAATCAGACGATTTCTGTAATGAAGTATTAAGCAATAATAGTAATGCAAAGAAATTAACATTCACATTGTCAGATAAGAGTATGTCTATTATAGAATGCTTTGACTCTGGGGGGAGTGGTCAAGATGGCCGACAGACACCAGTCTCTGACAGAAGCTCCTGTTCAGAAGAAAGGATAAATTCCGGAGAAACACCCAACAAAGTCAAAAACTGGGAGCCCAGCTGAGAAAGAAGAGTGATACCGACAGGACACCTCTTCTAAGACAGACAGAGACTTCTAGAGGACGCTCCACAGGTACATAAATCTCTCCAAAGGAATAGTGCCCATCCCCTCCCCCAAGAAAGGTGTGCTTTTCCTTTGTTTCTTCTTCAACCGCTCCTCCAAGACTCCTACAGGCCACCGATAAACTGAGGACCTATTCTCTCACTCCACGAGTGAGAGCTGCCAACAGGGAAGTTTACCACCCTGGAGGAACCCAGTTGAGACTCAGAACACCCTCCCCCAGGCAGAAAAGTGGAACTGGCATTCGCACTGCCATTTTGAGTTTTCAGTCCACTCTCCCTCCCTTTGCCCGCTGGGACAGGGAGAGGAGAGCCAGGAACGACATCCACCCACCCTTTCAAGACCAACCCCCTGTCCCAGTCCTTCACCGGGAGAACTGCTTGATCCACAGTTTTTGTGTGCAGACAGACCCCCCTCAGTCAGCGCATTCTGTGCTCAGCTGTCTCTGGGCTGCTATCTGCACTTCCCTAGACCTTGGTGCTGGTGACTGGGACTGACGCCCAACAGGGAGGGCTGCACACCCCACCAGGTGTCCGCCTCCAGGACTTTGGCGGCCCTTGACAGTGATAGACTTCTGCTGGGTGGGGTCACTGAGCCGCGCCCACCTCCCGGAGCCCTGCAGGCACACAGCTTCCATTGACTCCTGCTGGGGAAGGTCGCTCAGTCCCGCCAGCTGCTTGCTTGCCTGCCTCCAGGGCTTTGGTGACTGGCGAGGGCAATTGACTTCTGCTAGGGCAGGTTGAGCAACCGCGCACTTGCCTCCTGGGGCTCCCTGGCCCTGGATCACCACCAGCCCCTGCCTAAGAGGGTCGTGCAGTCCTGCCAATCACGCTCCAGCCTCCAGGGCTTTGGTGACCATGGAGGGCAGTCTCGCACCCACCTCCCAGGGTCTTGTCAGCTGGCAGTCGCCAGCAGCTCCGGCGGGGAAGGGTTGCGCCATCCAGCCAGCAGCGTGCGTGCCACCTCTGGGGCTTGGCGAATTGGGACAGCACCTGACTTCTGCTGGGGCAGATCAGGCAGACATGCGCCTGCCTCCTGGGACCTCCAAGGGTGTGATCACCGTGACCTCCCACCAGAGAGAGCTGTGCCATCCCACCAGGGGCAGGTCGCGTGCCCTTCTCACTGGGCCTTGCCAGCTTGCTGTCGCCAGCAGCTCCTGCCTGGGAGGGTCAAGCCATCCCGCCAGCCGCGCACCTGTCTCTGGGGCTTTGGTAGCCAGCAAGGACAACTGACATCCACAGGAGGAGGTTGCGCCTGCCTCCCAGGGCCTTGACGGCTACACTGACTCATGTAGGGGTGGGCTGCATCACCCACCCCGCCTGCTGGCCCCACCTCCCAGGGTCTTGCCGGGTTGTACCCAGGAGAAAACTAGAAGAATTCACTGGCAGAATGGTTTTAGGGATGGTTTCTGAAAGGTGCAAATTCAATATGGGATGGAATCAGTGGGAAATCTCTGGCAACCAGAATAACCAGAGTAGATTAACATCCCCAAAGAAGGATGGAGTAGACACAATGGAAGCCCCACTACATAAACAGATATCTGAAATGTCAGAAATTGAGTTCAGAATCTGGATAGGGAGTAAGATCAACAGGGTGGAGGAAAAGAGGGAGCTAGAATTTCAAATCATTCAAAAGCTGTCCCAGGAATTCAAAGATTTCAAAGATAAAATGATCAAGGATTACGATACTCTGAAACAAGAGGTTGCAGATTTGAAGAGCACTGTTGAATCCCTCCGTTAGAGGATGGACGAGGCAGAAGATAGAATCTCCGATACTGAAGACAAAGACTTTGAACACACCCATACTTCCAAAGATTTTGACAGATGGAGAACAAAGACAGATCTCTCACTAAGAGAGATCTTGGAAAATTCGAAGAAAACTAA